AGACCATGCCTACCTTTATCGAGATTACTCGCCGGAGAACGACAACTCGAAGAAGACTATAGTACTATCTATCCCACCATTCTACCAGAAGATCCGCTCCATCGTGAACAAGCAGTACAGGAAGCCATCTCTCGTGGTGCGCACCGTCGAGATCTCTTGGCACTCTTCAACGAGGCCTGGATACAGAGTCGTGCCGAACGCTATGCCCAGCTTTATAAAGATGCTGCTAAATCTGGTATTCTATCTATTGGTGATCGAGTGGTATGGCTACAACAACGTCGCAATAAGTATGGTAAGATCGTCCATGATGACAGGGTATTTGTTGTAGTTCGGTCTATCGGAAACCAATGTTATCAGATTAAGCCGCTCGACGATCAATCCTCTATTGCTGACAACCCCTCTGGATGGCCTACCATTCACAGGAGGAATTTATATAAAATATTTGGGGATGGTTCTGATACTATCTCTGGTCTTGACAATTCTACGGGAGAGCGAACCCCTGCAGTTCCTACTCCTGATCTGTTTGGCGCCGACGATGACCAAAACGAATCTCCTATTATTGACACTCAACCCAACAATACTCATTCAAATCCCAATTCTGGAACGGTCGAGAAGACCTTCAATGATGATGATAAGAAAGCTACTACACCCACTACTGTTACGTCCTCTGTTGCCTCTCGTAGGAGCTCGGTTATCCCTCATCGCATGGAATCCTCTCAGCAGGGTAAGCGAAAGGGGGAGAGTCGAGAGCTCCGATTTCTGTCGTCTATCGATAAATCTGTTAGCCGCTATGGTCGCTCTCGAAAAGGGGGAGTGATGGTGTAATCGATCCCCAAGGCGAGCGCTTTTTTACTTAGCTAGTAGTCAAGTCGATAGTCAGAGGCAGAGACAGGAACAGGTCTGTAGCCATCTTGGCTCAAGTTGTACTCTTGTGTTGATCAAGTCCAATGGATAGTCCAATAACGGCATCGGGCGAGGCTTCCAGCGGGTGGATTTGACCCGAGGGTCAAACCTGTGTAACCCTTGCTTACTGACCCTACCTGCCCTAGTGCCAGGGCGTTCCGAAATATCTCAATTAGTTATGTATATAAACAATACCCTACGTAGGTCTTGGGCCGATGCGTTTTACGGGTTTCCTTTTGACCCCAGTAGCGCTACCAATTTATCTTCGTAAAGCCTCTGAGCCCACATATTGTCAGTGGACGGTCCTGTGATCACATTCTATGAAAATTGCGGTTTTGGTACATGTCATAGGGTCGATCTCGAATTCCTATGAACACGACCAGGACCGATCCCGTTTACTGAATCCGTATCTGCTGAAATCGATCATGAGTTTCGAGATGAGGTGTTGCATTAGATATGGTCTCTAGTCGAATAGAATTGTGATGAGGAAAGGATTCACCGTCTTCCTGACGGATGCAATACAGGTCGTAGGCCTCATTGCACAGTATCAGCAAACAAGCAGTAGGGGTCTGATGAAGACCACAGAGGTGCCGCCTTCGACCACCCATTATATTCAACGATCGTTGAATCTTCCTGTGGGGTGAGCTGTCATCGAGTGGATTGAGTCTATTCCTTTCTGATGTCAACTGCCGAGCCGATGGACTTGGATGAGGAGACCCCAGCTGCTGGAGGGTCAGTGTTCCTCCCGCCAGCCAATGAGCTGCCCTGGGTTGAGAAGTAGTAGTACTAAACAGGAGGAGGAGGAGTCTATACTATTGCTAGGTACCGACCCAAGACGTTGGACGACCTGGTGGCCCATCAGGAAATCATCGAAACCATCAAACGCTTTGTGAAAATGGTAGTGAGGAAGTAGAAAGATCTCGGTGAATTTCACGTAGTAGAAAATTTGATATAGTGCTGGTAGCATAAACTGTCCTTTTCCATACCCCCGCTGCCCTCAGAATGCCCTACCACACCTATTACTCCACGGCCCACCAGGAACTGGCAAGACTTCTACCATTCTCGCCTGCGCTAGGCAGATGTAGAGCCTCCTTATTGTCATGGTTATGATATTGAGGGCGTTTAGGTATCCTCCAGGGCAGTTACGTCAGTATGTGTTGGAACTTAATGCTTCTGATGCACGTGGTATCGACGTAGTACGCGAATGTATAAAGCAATTTGTGAGCTCCAGAAGCATGTTTAGCGGCTCGCTAGGTAGTAGTTGTAGTAGCAAGCTGTGAAGTGGCAGAGGTGTGGTAGGAACTAATATGCCCAAGTTGGTCATATTGGACGAGGCGGATAATATGACGAGTGTCTCGCAGTTCGCCTTGAGGAGGGTTATCGAACAGTAAGTTGAGATTGGAGATCACCAGAAGGTTGTCGCTCGCAGGTACTCTTCCAACGCGAGATTTTGTCTTATATGCAACTACGCCTCGAAGATCATACCAGCTCTACAGTCGCGATGCACTAAGTTCCGCTTCGCTCCGCTAAAGGATGCTGAGGCTCGGATGAGGGTTGATTATGTTGCCAAGTAGTGAGGGTGGTGTTACGGCTGTATGTGAGATATATTAGGATTTGTATTGGAATTATGGTCTAGTGGTATGATTCTTGGTTAGGATTCGAGAGGTCTCGGGTTCAATTTTCGGAGAAGCCATGTAGTATTGGTACTAATAGAATTATCGTTATTATATTAAATGAATCGTTAAGGCAATAACAAAGCATTTGAATATGCTATCACTCTGCTGCCACGGTTGCATTCATTCAGATGTGAAGGTGTAAAGATATCAGAAGATGGTATGTTGGCACTATTGAGGACCGGGGAGGGGGACATGAGGAAGGTCCTTAATACCCTCCAAAGCTGTACACTCAGCTACCCTTCTCATACAGTCGATGCCAATATCATACATAAAGTAGCGGGGCTCCCTGAGACCTCAACTATCGATAGGTTAGAAGCGGTAGTAGGGCTACTTGCTCTGATGAGATATCATTTATAGTGCGCTCAGGTATTGTGTCAAAAGCCGCTGAGGGAAGGGATGATGGTGATAGAGGAGCTGCGGGTGAAACATGTAATGTCCAATCATCGATTCGTGGAGTTATCGCACAGTGAAGGTTTTGGATGCGTTATTCCATGTAGGGTTACAGCGTGGCAGACCTCCTACGTGAGATCCACGACCGTATGGTGACTGTTGACATGCCTCCGAGGGCGCGCAACCTCCTCTTTAGAGATCTTGCTGAGATCGAGTAAGTTCTGAGTTTCTATTATTACGGATTATTGGCCAAGTCGATGCATTTCTCCTCATCGCGTTATGATTGGAACTTGCCTTTGGCTCGTAGATACCGCCTAAGTAGTGGGTGCAGCGAGAAGGTCCAGGGGGCTGCTCTGGTGGGCTCCTTCCACGAAATTCGAGAGATGATGGTTGCCAAGTAGCTTCCTAATTGTTTGCATTATTCGATTCTCTGTTGTGTTGGAATAGTATGGATGATAGAGAGTGGCAAATGCACGCTTGTTATCAAATACATGAAATTGTTGTTGACATTTTGGCAACCTTTTCCCCCATAAGAAAGACACCTTTTTTCGAATGATACCTTTTATTACTAGCAAGGACTGTTGATTACTAGCGACAACTCGACAAGATACAAATCATGTCCAACCAAGGCCTTTTCGAAGATCTGTCATAACAGACTTCCTACTGCTACCTAAAGACCATCATCATTATCAATTTCATCATCATCAACTTCACCCCGCGAGAGACTTTTCTTCTTCTTAGTGGCCTCCATTTTAGCCCGTCTTCTCTCCATCAACTGATCCACTGTAGGAAGAGACGCCAATTCAGGTGGCACCTGAGTATCATCCAAGGTCGCACCTTGCGTGATACGAAGAAGGTACCTTCCCCCTCTTTCGTCGCCAAAACCCTGCCATACCCGCATAATATTCTCCGCGTATTTCCTCCTGTCGCCTCTTCAACTACCACGAATAATCTACTTCTACCGTTGTTAATATACAAGGTGGTGCGGTAAAGGCCCATCCCTCATAATTTCTCAGCGAACGAAACAGTCGGTGAGTTCTTTCCCATGGTAGTTAAATCACATCCATACTCGACGAGTTATGACGATATGAAAATACAGTAAAAACTCTTTGTCGTCTATTTTTTC